CCCAAGGAAGGGGTGAGAATACGTAAGACACCTAAAAAATTAGCTAGCATTTGTTGCCCTTAACGCAGAGAAAGTAAAGCAGATACCTTAAAGCAACTGAGGCCAATAGGAAAAGGGGACCAGGTACTAGAGAAAAGGTGAGATCAAAAAGAATCAACTAGAAGGTAACACCCACGCACAAGGAAATCAATGTGAGTCAACTCCCTGTATAGCTATCCTTATCTCAACCAGCAAAACCCCTTGTTCCTTCCTATTATTGCTTATACTCTCTCTACAACAAAATTAGAGATAAGGGCAAAATAGTTTCTGCTGGGTATTGGGGGGGGGCGGGAGGGGGCAGAGTGGGTGGTAAGGGAGGGGGTGGGGGCAGCGGGGAGAAATGAACCAAGCCTTGTATGCACATATGAACAATAAAAGAAAAAAAAAGTAAAACTCAGGTCTGTGTGTGTGTACACACGTCAAGTCTTTTATCAATACTAGATAATGGTTTCTTAAAATTTATTTTTAGTATATTTTGGTTTTTAAATTTAATTGTTCTAGGTGTACAATAATAGGTCATTGTGGTTTTAAGTTGCATCTCCTTGATGCTTTTAGTCGAACAGCTTTTCACGTGCTTATTTGCTCTTCATGTAAAAGAAATGAGAATGTATATATCAGAAGAAATGGAAAACATGTATGAATTTAAAATGCTAGAAAAATAGTGTATTACTTTTTTTGTTAACTGTGACAAAATACTTGATATAAACAATTTGTGAGAAAAGATTTTAACTCCCTGCTTCAGAGAGTTCAGTCCATGATTTCTTGGTTCCGTGTTCTAGGGCATAAGATCATGGGAGTGGGAGTGTGTGTCAGAGGAGGTTCTTCACCCCATGGTGAATAGGAATCAGAGTGGAGCAACAACAGGAAGGGGTAAGGGTAATATATAGTCCCCAAGGACAGGCCTCCAGAACCTTACTTCCTTCAATCAGTCCTACCTTCAACCACCTCCCAGTAGTTTATTCAGATTTGAATTCATCAGTGTACTAAACGGTTCATTAGGTCAGAGCCTTCATGATCTGACACCTCACAGATACACCTGGTAAAATCTTCTGGGCATTTCTTAATCCAATCAGTGTAACAATCAAGATTAACCATCACAGATAGGGAGGTGCCATGATAAGAAATGAGAGTTCTGGAAGAGCTGGTGTTAAGTTTTAATACTTCCCATTTTAGTCTTAGGAAAAAATAGGAGGCATTAAAGCATAGTGATTGTTAGGAAAAAACTAATGAAATGAAACTTTGTCTAATAGTAACATCTTTTTTGTAACAATTCAAAGCGATTGGTAGAATTATCGCATTGATCTGGTGTTTTGATTTCTTTTGGAAAGCCATAACTGGTAACTTTTCTCATCTTTGTTTAAGGCTTTGTTGCTACATGTTCCTATGCATTTGTTTGAGTTGGAATATGAAGTAGATCACTAAGAATAAACAGACTAGAAATATCAAGTCCAATTATTACCAAAGAGTAAACAATCCTTGTTACTGCTATTATCTAATTAGTAGGTTTGCCTGACTGCTTTAGTCAGTACAGCATGAGACTCTTAATTATTAGGTTTACTAACAAAGATTGCACAAAAATATGATTAGATTAGGAAACCAGTTGCTCTCACTTAGGTTAAATATACTGGTATATGTCTGAACTGATAATCTTATTCCCATTTCCCAATATAGGCTATTTAAAACTTGTCATTCATGTCCTTGACCATCGTACAGTTTATCTACTATTCATCATCCTCACTCACTGTAGTAGTATGAATGTTCTCACTTCAATGTAATAACAGCAGAGAGCCGTGCAACTATTTGATGAAAGGGAAGTGTAGCAATAAGAAGAAATGTCAGCTGGTGGAGTGGCTCAAATGGTAGAGTTCCTGCCTAGCAGGTGTGAGGCCCTGAGTTCAAACCTCACTGCTACCAAAAAAAAAAAAAAGTCAAACTGCTTAAAGAATTATTTAAAAGTAAAATATTCTGCCAGGTGTGGTGGGTCACGCCTATAACCTTAGCTACTTGGGAAGCTGAGATTTTGGGGATTCAAGGTTTGAGGTCAGCCCAGGGAAATAGTTTCCAAAGCCTCCATCTTCAAAATAACTAGAGCAAAATGGACAGGAGATGTGACTCAAGTGATAGAATGCCTGCTTTCCAAGTGTGAAGTTAAGAATGCAAATGCCAGTCCTGCCCCCCCCAAAAAAATTGTATAACTACCTTTTTAAAAGTAGTACATTGTGGGAAACACTTCAATAAATAACAGTAGTAGGCAAATTAGACTTTTTTTTGTGTGTAGGGGCAAGTCAGGGTTTCTCTATGTAGCACACACTGACTTTGAACTCACTGTCCTCTTGTCTTAGCCTCCTGAGTTCTGGGATTAACAGGTGTGTGTTAGCATGCCCATTGACTAAGTATTTCTTGAATAAATGTTAAAAATGATCAGAAACTTGAGACTTTAATAATCTTCATAATGAGTTTCTTTATCATCATAAAACAGATTTCTTTTGTTTAGAGTGGCCACAGAGCTGGAGGTGTCAGGAAAACATAGAATGAACTTATTTTTTAATGTTTGCATCATTTTTTCACATATGGAGTTTAGTTGAATATGTAATTGAAGAACAAAGCCTCCAGGTGCCAGTGGCTCATGCCTGTAATCCTAGCTACTCAGGAGGTAGAGATCAGTAGGATTGTAGTTTGAAACCAGCCTGGGCAAATAGTTTGTAAGACCTTATCTCAGGAAAAAAAAACCTTTGCAAAAAAGGGCTGGTGGAGTGGCTCAAGATATAGGTTCTGAGTTCAAATCCCAGTACTACAAAAACAAAAACAAAACCAAGAACAAAGCCATTCAGAGGCCCTTGGTAGGGAAGTAGAATAGAATTGCTAATTATCTTTTATCTCAGGTTGTCTTCTAAGCTCTTATGATTATCAGTCTTTTAATTTTGTCAGTATGATTCTATTATATGATTTTCTATAGCAATGTATTTGCTAGCTACTGTTTTTTGTTACATCACCTGGTGAGCCAATGCTAAAGGTACCTTTTCACATTAGCTACACATTTTGTGTGAGTTATAATAATGAATAGTTATGCATAGTTAAATATAGATATGGATGAGGAAATAGAAACCTTGCCCTGCAAGTGTTATTTTGCATAATTTAAAAAGGTAAGCTGAGGCACATTTTTTTTCAGAAAGGAAGTTCATAGTGGTTAAGACCAAATGGAAAGGATGGGTGTTAGGCAAGGTAAGTATTCAGTAAATGACATTGTTTTTTCCCTTCTATAACCTTTGGGAGTAAATTCCAATATAAGACAGATTTATCTGAGAATGTATAAAATGTAGTAAGTCATTGAGATTTTCTCTAAAATATAAGCAGAAATATCTAATGTAGACTTAGTTTTGCATTTTAGGAACTCTGCTAGCATCTGCATCTCTGCCTAAGGTTTCTTTTACAAACTGTTGCTGAGTTGTCATATGTGTTGTTCATTGAAATAGTAGTTTTATATAGGTATCTTTTATTTTGCTTCCAGTTTTGGAAACTCCATCTTAGAGTTTTCTATGCAGAGTAGCCCTGGTTTACATACAATATTGCTTGTGATTTACAAAAAAAAAAAAAATTGAAATGCATTTCCTCAGAAGTTAATATTTTCAGGTTTGCCTGAAATTTTTGTTTAGTGGAACCGAGACCACATGACAATTTTATCATAGTCTTTACTATGTGGTAGTGTTTAATTAGTTTTTAGTAATGGAGATTAAATTTACTTACTTTTAGCATAGTTTATCTAAGAACTAAGTAGTAGATAATCAAGTGCCTTGTCCAGGATTGATGCTTGGTCTTAAAAATTTTACAGTAGATTGTCCAGGGGCTGCATTGGTGATGTTAAGGATCAGAGTTGGGTGACAGGTTAAAAGCAGCTTGTGTAGTTAGCAATTGAGGATAGCTGTAGGAATTTCATAGTATTGAAATGGATTTCAAGACTCAGAAGTTAAAAGATGTTGTTGCTGAAGTGTTTTAGTTTGCTTCATTTACATAATCAGGATCTCCAGCATAAATCAGGTTGATGTGATGGGAGAATCCTTTGGAAATTGATGTCAGGTATTATGGAAATTGAAAACTCTTGGAAAAGCTAAAACTTTTCCTCAGTGTCTGGGGGTGTGTGTTAGAGTACTTGCTTGGCATGCGTGAAGCCCTGGGTTTGATCCCCAGCACTGCAAAGACAAAACACACATACAAAAAAACCCCTTGCATTTGGAGAAGGAGCGGCACCTTGTACCTATAATCCCAGCTAATTGGGAGGTAGAGATTGGGATGATCATGTTTCAAGGCCACCACATGGTCCAAAGTCAACAAGACTATCTCAACAACAAACAGTGTGGTGACATGTGTCTTTTATCCCAGCTACAGAGGAGACGTAGATAAGAGGATTGTGGTATGAGGTTGGCCCTGGATGAAAACATGAGCCCCATCTGAAAAATAACTGAAGCAAAAAAAATGGGATGGGGTGGGGCTCAAGTGATAGAGTGCCTCCCTAGCAAGCATAAGTCTCTCAGTTCAAACCCCAGAACTGTTAAAAACAAAACAAAACTTGCATGCAAGTATGGTGGCACATGATTTATAATCCCAGCACTGGAAAGGCTGAAGCAGTAAGATCATGAATTTGAAGCCAGCCTTAGGCTAGCCTGCTTTACAAGGCAAGACCCTGTCTTAAAAACAACAACAAAACGAAGCAGTCACCAGTGGCTCAGACCTGTAATCCTAGCTACTTGGGAGGCTGAGATTAGTAGGATTGTGGTTTGAGGCCAGCCCAGGAAAATAGTTCAAGAGACCCCCATCTCCAAAATAACCAGAGCACAATGGACTAGAGGCATGGTTCAAGTGATAGAGTGCCTGTTTTTGCAATCCTGAAGCCCTGAGTTCAAACCCTAGCCCCACCAAAAGCAACAACTTCCCCCTCAAAAAAAAAAATCCTTTTCCTCATCATCAGGTGGAAAAGAAGATAAGAAACAGAATTAGCTGTTAGATTTTCCAAAATAAAGCTTTTGTTTCTTGTATGAAAAGTGTTCATCGCTCAGTATTTAAACTTTGGACTGGCCTGTATATGATATTATGAGAGAACACATTGTTGGTGTCCTTTAGAGATTTAAGTTACATTTGAACAATTATTTTATAATTTTAAGTTCTTTTGACAAGGGTTTTGTAATATGCCTCCAAGGTGAGATGTTGATGCTGAAGACCTAAGAGGGGAAAATAAAGACGAATGATTAAATAATGTTAATTTCTTGAGTTTGAATTCTCTATGTTTTTAACAGCACAATTGAAAACATAATGTTTAAGGCAGCAGTGATCACCAGAATTACAGACCCTACTAACTTCTGACTCAGTATGGCAGTATTAATATTGCTTTATTTTTATGTGTTACAGATATTGGTAAACATTTTATGGACTGTTTTTCACAGAAAAGGTTATGTAAATTTTAATGGATTTATAAGAATGGAAACATGAGTAATTTAAAAAATAGAAATAGAGTTCTATGTAGTAGCTGTTTTAGAGATTAAAGTAGTGCCAGAAAAGATAGTGACTATTATTACTATCTAGATTTATTTTTAAGTACTTGGGAAAGTTGAAATGTGGATTAATTAGCATTTCTGCAGATTGATAATATTAGAAAAAGCATTGGCTATTAATTAGCCGAGATGGGAACAGTAGGAGAAAAATGGTAGATTTTAGTATTATGAAATACATGATTATCCCAAATATGTATTGTTTACTATATGACATGAATTGAGGTATAAAAAGATATTCCTCCACACAGAAATAACTTGTAGCCCCTTAAAGAATATACGACTTAGTGGGAGCCATGATTAAAATAGTCATACTAAAATTGACTTCTAATCTTATGCCCTCTGTTTTATAAAAATGATCCAAATTAATGACACCTATGCTTTTGTGAGTTTAATAGTTTTGGTTTCATCCATCCTCTGTAGGTAAGAATTATGTAGCATGAATCTGGGTTTGTTTGCTTTGCTTGCCCTTTATTTTTGGTATAATCTTAGTGTGCAGAAGTGCCCAGGGAGCTGGGCATGGTAGTGCACACATAATCCCAGCTTCTTGGGAATCAGAAACAAGAGAATCACAAGCTTCATTCCAGCCTGGGCAAAGTTAGTAAGAACCCCATATCAGAAACAAAATGCAACAATAAAAGGGCTGTTGGTGTACAGTAGTAATTCTAAGAACTTTGTTATTTAAAACATTTAAAAAAAGTATTTTACCTAGGCCAGATGTTGTAGAAATTTAGTTTTTCCCTCTGAATTATCGTATTTGTTAAGTTGTATGGATTTATACAATATTTATGGAAAAGAAAACTGTGGCTTAGTATCACACAAATTGTATGATAAAAATAGAGTCGAAGAGTTTTACCTAGAGACTTGAGAACTAATTACTGTTAATAAATGAGCAAATCTGGAAAACCTTCTTTGCCCCTTTAAAGAGACAGAAAGGAATGACTCTAAGCAACATGGGAGAAAATTATGATTTAGGCAATTTTGGTTATACCCTTGTAAACTAGCTTTGATTTCTTGGTTCATCATGGAGTACTAATTTTCTTTATTGTAGCAAATTTCAGGCCACCAGAAGGTGGTGACTCTTCCATTTGGAATGTTATTTCTGTACTTTACTTAGAAATAGTCCCAGAATTCAGACACTTGGTTTTGGGGGTGTGTGTGTGTATGTGTACCAACTGCAATAAGGATGTGGTGCGGTGGTTGAGCACTTTGTTGGTACACATGAGTCAAAAAAACACAAAAGAAATGTAAATATTGGATAGTAATTTATGGATAATATGGAGGAGTTTAGTTTGGCTCATGACTGTATCACTCGCTTATCCTTATAAGATCTGAAGTGGATTTTATTTTCTGCCTACTACCAAAGCCATAATTCTTGTATAAATCCTTGAATAGGTTATTTTTAGGGTCATTTATTATTTACTTCATACGTAGTAGCATTTGAGTAGCTTTATGTCTAAGTCGATCATCACTGATTGTGTTATTATTATGAAGAAGAATGCGTAATAACTAGTTTTGTTTAGGTAGCCATGTAACTTACCCAGTTGGACAGGTAGAAGAGTAAAAAGGAATGAAATTAATAATTGGAACAACAGCTATAAATAAAGACTGATCCAGGCTAACAAAGATATACAGTCCCCTAAGTAGGATGCTTTTGATGGCAAGTAACAAAAAACATCTCAATTAACTTAGTAAGGGAAACATACTAGCTTGTTTGCAAGTGCTACAGGTGTGATTCAGTGAAGACTCTGGCTTTTGTTTTTCTTTTTTCTAGACTGTCTTCTATGCCTTGCTACTCTTACATTTGTTGCATGACTGCTTGCAGTGATCTAGACTATACTCTTTGTTTATGATCAGCAGGAGAGAGAAACTTACATCTGTCATTAACATAAACATAAAATGAGTATTGAGGTGCTGTGATTATGCTTCTAAACTAATCTCTGTCAAGGGGAAATGTCATGTGCTGATTGTTTTAGGCATGGGGTATCTGAATCCTACTGGGGCAAGGAGAATGCAGCTTAATGAAGGGAGAGAAACCTCAGTATTCACTACCAAGTTTTGTATGGTTGCTTGTTTGCATTTTTCCTTAGGGATCTGTTAATGAGTTTCTGCGAGAACTTCACTGAATACTGCAGATGAAGTGTTTTCCTTCAAGTGACAATTTGTAGTATAAAATGACTTACCAGTTTGGCAATGGGAGAGGAAAAGAAAACTTACCATCCATGTCATTTTCTCTCTCTTTTTACAATAAGGCTGTAATAATTATTGATGTTTTTTTTTTTTTCCCCACAGACTAATAGGGATGCCAAAGGAAAAATATGATCCTCCAGATCCTCGCAGAATTTATACCATCATGTCAGCAGAGGAGGTAGCCAATGGGAAAAAATCTCACTGGGCAGAATTAGAAATCTCGGGTGAGTAAAATCTGATTTTATCTGGGGTATAATAGTAGTAAAGCTACATTTCTTTTTGTACTTTTTTTTGGTGGCCCTGGGGTTTGAACTCAAGGCCTTATGCTTGCTAGGCAGACACTCTTACCACTTGAGCCACTCCACCAGCCCATTTGTTGTACATTTTTAATTAAATGGATTGAGAACATACATGAATGCCGAGGCAATAGTGTTTAATTTATCTGTTACTAAGTATCTTTGTCCCCTCTCCCCTTCTTTTGAGATTAATGGCCTTGAATAAGAGTTACTATCTGAAGTTGAGACTATTGGGAGCTCATTTTCTAAGTAAAATTAGGTTCTTGTGATATAATAGCTTTGGTTTTGACTATCTCAGGGTAGTTTTTGCAAATTAAAAATCTTTGCCATCCTTCTGTCATCTTATTCTTGGCTATCCTAACAAAATACGTGATAACTATTACAGTATGTGTTTAGGATTTGTTAAAGTAGAATATGAGTCCTAAAAACATGTAACCCCAGTCTAATAGTGAGAAAAACATTAAACACAAACTGTAGAACATTTAACTAAATACCCAACTAGTAAACCTCAGAATTAAGATCATGAATCTACCACACAATACTTATATGAAAAGTAGCATTTGAGATTTTTGTGCCCTCTACCTTTCACTGTGCCTCTTATCAAAATCTGTTTTGAAAATAATGCATAGTTAAAATACCACTTTATTTTTGTAAAGTTCATAAAATGATCTTCATATAAATTATTTTCTATAATTAACACTTATTATAGGTAAGATAATGTCCCGTTTTATGGAAGATGAGGCTGGATGATTTGTCCAGACTTAGTCTGGCAAATTAACAAATGGCAAAAATCAGGACTCTGAGCCAGGTCTAATAGTACATATTCTATCCAGTTGCTGACTTGGTTCCAGAGCTTGATGTGTCATGTCGCACTGTGTTGTGTTGGTTTGTTGCACTAAATGCAAAACCTTAAACCAGAGTTGTTAATCTCTAATTTTAACATCAGAAAGCAGGGGAAGATGTCTGCTTTGGGAATACAGTGATTTTCCTGATGGCTAATCTAAGGTTGATTCTAAATCATAGTAATTTATTCTTGACTATTAACTTTGTCAACTAATCCAGGCACTGGATATGGATAAACCTTGCAGCAATAATTTTCATGAAATAGGTGAGAAATACTTTTGTTAAGATGATGTTATAAAAAAAAAATTCAACACTTTTCTACCATAAAAGCTCAATGTAGCCTCATACTTTATCCTTAAGATCTGATTCCGAGGATCTCTGTATTTTGCTACATCTCATTTAATATAGGACGTTTCCTGGAAAAGACTAGTAGTTAGATGGTTGTCGTATGAAATTAAATAGGGCCAAGTGTGTTTGGAAGCAATCATATGGCCTTAAATACAAAATTAAAATGTCAATACATTTTGCAGTGTATACAGTATCGGTGTATACTTGCAGCCTGGTCTACCACTTTTTAGTGCTTGCAGTTCAACTTTTGTCTTAAGCCTAAAATTTTATGCTTCAATATTTTGCCTTTTAGGTAAAGTGCGGAGCTTAAGTACATCACTTTGGTCATTGACACACTTGACAGCGCTGCACCTAAATGACAATAACCTTACTCGCATTCCACCTGATATTGCCAAGCTTCATAATCTGGTTTACCTGGATTTGTCATCCAATAAACTCAGAAGTTTACCAGCAGAACTAGGAAACATGGTGTCTCTCAGGTGAGAAAATATTAAAGACATGATTCACTATATAAAATTTTAAGTTTACCAAATAAGAACATTAAGGGATAGTACCCATTTTACAGTGGATTTCTATGTGGTTGTGAAGATCAAATATTATAAACTATCTAAGCACAGTGCCTGATTTGGCCTCCACTGAATATTTCTTTACCTTCCTTTATATTTGGAGTTCTAGTTTCCAGTTTCTTTTGACAGACTTGAACTGAAGTGAGTTTAAAATTGTGAGTCTCATTGTAGATTCAAGTCTGATAATACTAAAGAGAAATACTTGGAAAAGTATGATTTGCTTATAAGCAAAGCTTTTATAAACATATTTCTATTATATAAGATGATATATATTTATATTTATCACAACTCCTTAAGGAAATCTTAAATGGATTTATAATTTCTTTCTTTCTTTCTTTTTTTTTTTTTGTGACACTGGTGTTTGCACTCAGAACTTCATGTTTGCAAGTCAAGTGCTCTGCCACTTGAGCCAAGCCTCCAGCCCTTTTTGCTGTGGTTATTTTGGAGATGTGGTCTCACTTTTTGCTCAGGCTGGCCTGGACCATGATCTTCCTATTTTTTGCTTCCTGCTATTGCTAGGATGACAGGCAATCACAACCAAGCCCAGTTTTTTTCTGTTCAGATGGGGTGCCATAAATTTTTTTGCCCAGGTTGGCCTAGAACTGTGCTCCTCTTAATCTCAGCATCCCATGTACCTTGGGATGATGGATTACCCTTCCCAGCTGTTGGTTGGGATAGGAGCTCCTGAAGTTTCTGACCAAGGTGGCCTCAAGCTGCAATTCTCCTGATGTCAGCCTCCCAAGGAGCTAGGATTATAGGCATGACTCACTGGCACTCAGCTTATTTTTAGTTTTTCAAGATTTTTTAAAGGATTTCTTACAAGAGGAAAATTTGCAATAATCTTTAAGACCTTATATGAATATTCCCAATAAAAATAAGAATTGGTTTTCTAACTTACTTACTGAGTAATGACTTAAATTGTTGCTCCATGTGTTAAAATTAAACTTAATAGTTGTTCTTCCTCGTCCCCTACCTGGTTATTTGAACATTTTTTTAACTTTTGGTCATCTATTTTTTTATTCTCTACTCAAAATTTCAGTTCTAAACTTACCTCTTTTACACTGTCCTATTCTTATCTGTGCCAGCCTATGTTTATTTTAATGTTTATCTTGTCACTGATTGTACATCACAGTACTTTTCTCTTTTCACATTTTCTATTCCATTATATTATGTTTTCATAGTATTTTGACATAAAGTTATTAACAGTTATAAAAGATGATGCAGGCAATTGAATACTAATTGTAGTTTCATCCTAAAGTTTAAACATTTATTTTTTTCTATGTATTAAACTAGGTTCAAGGTCATCTGTTGTCTTGTTTTTGGATACTAAAGATATCTGCTTATAGATCCTGTTTTGCATCTATAAGCATTTTGGATGAGAGAAAAATATGTGGATTTAGCTTGAGAATGATGTGTAATTCTTATACTTCTGACTTTAGTCTGTACTAGAGAATGAGTAAATCCTATAGAAACACTGTCAATAGTTGTGGCAGTTATAGTTTATAGCATTTTAGTATTGTACAATATAACTGTGCCCTGGTGACTCATGCCTGTAATACTAACTACTTCGTGGTTCGAGGCCAGCCTGGGCAAATAGTTTATGAGACCTCATCTGCAAAATGGACTAGAGGGGTGGCTCAAGCAGTAGAGCGCTTGCTTTGCAAGTGCGGACCCCTGAGTTTAAACCGCAGTCCCACCAAAAGAAATAAGTATCGCACAATATTTTGGAATCAGTATGGAGAAATGCTTTAAATGTGAACATCACTCATGGTTTATTATAAAGAAGGAAAGGTTGGTATATTAAAGTAAAACCATCTTTTCTTTTTTTGAACAGGGAATTGCTTTTAAATCACAATCAGTTACGGGTTTTGCCTTATGAACTTGGTCGGCTCTTCCAGCTACAAACTCTAGGTTTGACGGGTGAGTGACTTTTTAGCAAAAATGATAGTGTCGACACTCAGTATTGAGGTGTTAAGGACCCTTTAAAAACCATTTTGGTTACACTATGATTTTGAGAACATGAGAAGGATTGACCCAAGGCATTTGAAATGTAATTAGTGGGGCAATTCTTATTTTCTATATGCTCAGTCTTAAATAGTTGAAATACTCATCCAGCTAGTGATACAGGAGGGCAAGCCTGTTCCTCTTTATTAAAAAATGATGGAATGGTTGTCATTTTTTAATAATCTAATATTCATGAACTGTGAACATCATACTTTCCTACAGGTGATAATACATTATAATTCTTTCTCTTTAGTAAGAATGATCCTTATTTCTTTTAACATTAATCAGATTTGTTTTGGTTTTGGCTGTTAAGGGGTTTGAACTCAAGGCCTCACCCTTGCTAGGCAGGAGTTCTACCACTTGAGCTACTCTGCCAGCCCATTGTGATTAATCAGGATAGCTGTTTTCATCCTTCTGATATTAATAAGGAGCATATCAATGATGTATTCATAATTTACAGTTGAACCCTTTGCACCAAGTAACATTCCTGAAAAGGCAAATGATAATATTTCCTACTTTTTCATGACTCTATACCATGTTATCTCACATGTTCTGAGAACAAGGCATGTTCTCAGAAGATTTACAATAAGAATCAATTGAATGCATTATTATGAATATCCATTATCTCTGCAGTCTTTTATTACAGAAAATATTAGTCTTAAAACTACTCATTTTGGCTGGGCACCAGTGACTTATGCCTGTAATCCTAGCTACTTGGGAGACTGAGATCAGGAGGATCAAGGTTCTAAGCCAACTTGGATGAATAGTTCCTGAGACCTCCATCTACACAAATAAAAAGAACAAAATGAACTAGAGGCATGGCTTAAGCATTAGAGTGTCTGCTTTGCAAGTGAGAAGCCCTGAGTTCAAACCCCAGTCCCACCAAACAAAACAAAACAAAAAACCCTACTGTTTTTGGCTGGTCCATTGTAGTGGCCTTTTCTTTACAACACACATTCATTAAAATCTTTATTCTTAGATGTCTACTTTGTCAGGTTAGGTACCAGCTCTACTTCACAACTGTGCCTGTGGACAAATCCTTTTTTGTCAGACTTTTATTTGTGCTATGATAAATTTAGATTGAGTAGTATTTCAAATTTTGGATGTTTTTGAGGTTTTGGAGTAATTGTACATACATAATGAAGTATCTTGGGGATGAGACCCAAGTGTGAACACAAAATTAATTTGTTTTATGTACACCTTATGCACATATCTTAAAGGTAGTTTTATATGCTATTTTTAGTGTGCTTATATTTTGACTGTGACATGGGTCACATGGGTCAGGAGTGGAATTTTCCATGTGAAACATCATATCAGTGCTCAGAAAGTTTTGGCTTTTGGACCATTTCTGATTTTTTCTTTTTGAGATAGGGTCTGTCTGTGTAGCCCAGACTGGTGGCTAGAACTCATAATACTCCTGCTTCAGCCTTCCAAGTGTTAGACGTACAAGTTGTTGCACCACCACACCTGGCTGTGTTTTTTATTTCTAATTTTCATCCTGTACTTAACAATTTGCTTAGTTTTCATTCAATACTATTTTCTAGTCAGGTGATCCAGTACAAAAGAGCAAGTAATTTTTAGAAGGAAAAGAAAACCAGAGCTCTTCCTGCCTTTTAAAAATGTTTAAGATGATAAAAAATAGGAAGGGCTTTATCAAGCAATTGAAGGAATAAATTGTCCCTTTTGAATAAATAAAATGTCCCTTCCTACTTAGGAAGATAAAATTCGAAATAATCTCTTAATCAGTCTAAATAATTGCATTATGTGCTTTATGTTGAAAAAAAGAAAAATGTGAATGGAACTTAAGATAGCATTGTGATATTGTTAAAAGACAATGAGAAAGAACTTCCTCAGATCCGTTTTGTCTTGAAACTGGAAGAAGGTATCTCTTCTTCATTTCCTTTTCTTCTTTAGAATTATAGATACTGAATATTTAATGATTTGTATCATCCTGGCCCAACAAAATAATTTTTACCCATTCACTTTTGAGATCTGAGAACTGTGTTTAGAGGGTAGGTTATTTTAAGAATTTTAGATGAAGAAGCCTATTTTAAATTTTCGCAGGTTGAAAAGTGTTCTCTTAAGGCTCTTAATTCCAAATGTATTAATTATATGAAACAAAAGGCATAAGTAAAAACAATTTCCAGCCATTTAAAGATAATTGAGAATTCATGTTCTGAGGTATGAAGTATACTTTCTCTGTCTCAGGAGCCCCTGAGATGCCCTTAGGCTTTTAACACATTGATGTCCCAAGTCATAAAAATGTGTAATTAGAAAAATTTCTAGTTTGTCTCCCTTACTACAAAATTTGCGTTATTCTTAAAATGTAACAGAGTAGCATCATACATTTTAAAGAAAATAATTAAATATTTTGTTATTTAAATGACTTCTAAATGGTTAATGTACACTGAATATTTTTTTCTGAAACTCAACCATAAATTACGATTTCATCAGTGTGATTATTCTAAACAGAGTCATAAAGATGGTGGGAAAGTTTGAGTCCCGCACTTGAAAATGTCCATGGCAGATTCTTCCCTGGAGAACTCAAAAAAAGAAAATAATTAAATAAATAGTGTCATGTCATTATCCAACTGTCAATACCTTTTAAAAAAAGGCACTTGAAAATGTAATTATCATTCATTCAGGAAGCAGAGACTTGTGTGTTATGCATGAGCTGATGGAAATCAGTAAGTGAACATTCTAGTTAAGAATATAAGTAGTTCATATAAGATGATACAAATAATTGTAAAATATGGAGTATTGATTAGCCTTAGGTACAATAATAACAATACAAAGTATTAACTACACTCATTTACCATTTTTCACTTATCAGATTGGAAGAGTTGCAAAAATTTGATAAGTTTTGTGGTGAGATTATAGGAAAATAGGCATGTTCCTGTCTTATTGATGTAGATCCTCTGTACATAAGTTTCTTCCCTGCTCTTTCCTGATTATATCTTCCTTCCTTCTCCAGAGGTTACTATTGTTCTGAATTTAGAAGTTAGGATTATGTATGTATTTGGTAAAGGGGTCTTAACTGTTTCGTAAATGGAATCCCACAGTATAATTTGCAATGACTTGATTTCATTCAGCATGGTTTTTATGATTCAGCCATGTTCATGCATACATGTAACTGCATTTCATGTTTGCTGTATTATATTCCAATAGATGAATGTGCTGTAATTTATTCATTCTGCTATAGATACTTAGATTGCTTCCTTTTGCGTGTGGATGGGGGTTACTGTAATCAGTGCAACCATCACAATTCTAGTGTATGTAGCCTAATGCATACATAGAATGGAATTGAATTGTTGGGTTGTAGAAGTCTATGCATTGTTAGCTCTATTAGGTGTCATAATGTTTAAAAAGTAGTTGTATTTAACTACACTTCCAAAATAATAATGGCTTCCAGTTTTTGTCTTTTTTTCCTCTACTTGGTATTGTCAATAATTTTTAAGTTTTGCTAATTATTGAATATGAAATAGGTTCTAATTGTACTCTTAAATTGCGTTTTCCTAATTGTTAATAAGATTGAGCATCTTTTCATGTATTTATTGGCTACTAATATTTTTTCTTTGAAGTTGATGTTCTGTTTGTTTTTGATTAAATTGTTAATGTTTTTGTAGTAGTTCTTATCTGTTTTGTGTTAGAAACATTTTTTTTTACTCTGTGGCTTTTTTTCCTCTTTGTGGTATCTTTTAATGAGCAAATATGCTATTTTAAATTAGTAGTTGAATTTTAAAATCTTTTATTAGCGGTGTTTTATGTCTTGCTAAGGAAATTCTTCCCTATCCATGGTTAGAAATACATTTTCCTGTTCTATCTTAGAAAGTTAAAAAGTTTTGCTCCTTCATAGTTCATTCGGGATTGCTTTAAAAATAAAAAAGTTTAGATTCTAGAAGTTTCCTTTCATTCCTACTTTGCTGACCCTTGTTCAGATAGTTTATTGAATGCCCTGTTGCAGTAATTACTTTTTTCTCATTTCAGAAACAAATGTATATGTATACATTTTTTTTCTAATTTAACATTTCATTCTAATGACACAACCAACTTGGTCATGTTGTTAAATGCTTTTATAAACTGCTGGATTTAATTTGATAATGTCTGTCAAGAACTGTGAAGACTGAGATTTGACTCTACTTATAAGCTATTAAGTTAGTCACTTTTTTTATGGATAATGACAAAGAAGACAGGAGACTCAAGGGTCCGAAACAAAGAACATTATTTAAGGCACAAAATGGGCCCAAATGCATGCTGTGTGCACAATGAGTTTTTGTGGCAACTGAGTAATCCAGATTCTGAAAGAGTTAGTATATTACTGAGTGAATTTGTTCTTTGAAATTTTGATAGAACAATTCAGTAAAATTATCATTGCCTGGTGTGTTCTTTGTGGAAAGTATTTACTATCTTGATGTATTTGTAGTTACAATAATTACAAAGAAATTCTGATGGTTAATGAGTAACTTTTGTTGGGCCATATCTGTACCATTGATATTGTTTAGCTTTACTTGTTTAATTTACAAAAGCATAATATTCTCTTGACATACTTTTGAACTATTCTATTTGTTCATATTATTCATCCTTTTTGTTGTATTTTCCTTCTTTAGGTTAAATATGCGATTATACACATTTAGATTTAATTAATTTCAAATTTAAGCATTTACGGTTGTAAATTGATGTGTTTTATTACTTTTATTTGATATAAAGTATTTTCTTTTTATTTTTATGAGATAGTATCTCTCTATGCTGCCGAGGCTAGCCTCAAACATACCTATGCTCAAGTGATCCTCTTGCCTCAGCCTACAGGTAGCTATGACTACAGTGAAGCACCACCACACCCAATCTGATATGAAGTATTTTCATTACTGTTTTGGTCTGTATTTTTAGTATAGGTTATTATATCTTCATTGATTCAT